GACGGCGGTAAGTTCGAACTAAGGTACGCAACTTCAGCCATGTGAATAACGTAGCTGAAGTCGACGTACCTTAGTTCGAACTTACCGCCGTCCAGACCCGGCAGGCAGGCTCCCCTGTCGACTCCGCGTACTCCTCGCGGCGAGCAGGATTACTGGAGTCGACAGGGAGCACTTCTGAGTTCGATTTATCGCGTCCCATCGGGACGCGACAATCGATCCCCGAATCGACGCTCTTACTCCACCAGCGGAGGTGGGAGTAAGCGCCGTTGACGGGAAGCCACAGAGGTCGATTTTGCCACCGTCCCTGCAGCGGGGTAAGTCGGCTGCGATACGTCGAATTCAGCTATGCTATTCGCGTAGCTGAATTTGCGTAACTTAAATCGACCCCCCCCCCCGTAGTGTAGATGTAGCCTTAGCAATAGCAATTCCTGCACCCCACCAAATATACCAAGTGAAATTCTGCTCTCAGTTTACACCACAGTAAATTCAGAATTACTCTCTCCAAATAAATGGAGTTACTCCATTGTCACACTGGTGTAACAGAAGAATTTGGCTCAGTATAATAATAGAATTAAGTTATGGTACATCAAAGAACATTATCTATTTTATTTTCAAATCTCAGCTTTTACAAAAGCTGAAACAGAACAAGTCATAACTCACATCATTTTGAACTTGCAGGGCCAAATTCAACTCTGGTATCACTTTATTGAAGACAGTAGAACTGCACCAAGGATGAATTTTGTCCACAATCTTCTTTCCTACAAACAATATCTAATTTGCCACACAATATATATTTCCTAGGTACTATAAGAATACAGTTTTGTGTACAGGGCTGTAAATCAATCTCAAGATTCTGATATCATTTTATAAGGGTATTAATAGAAGTGTTATCTCACTATGGGGGAAAATTTGAGATCACAATATGAAGCTCATTTGTTTTATGTTTTATGTCCTCAGATAAAAGCAAAACACCATTCTGACATTAAGTACTACTAACCAAAATACTGGCTTATTGTTAGCAGAATGAAATTTGTATACATGCCTCAATTCATAAGAAGGCTATATTTTTAAGGCTCTTTATAGAATTCTTTTATAGTGAAACTTTAGAAAGAGGCCCCTCTTGTGGTGGGAAAAATTACTTTAAATGAAGTGACCTGGCCTGTTTCTCTCCAGGTTCACTTAGCAGCAGAAGTTACCTTCGTTCAAGACAGACTGAAGGGTGACGATGTGACGGAAATAGGAATTACATTTTTAAAGAAGCTCGAAGACAAAAAGCACAAAAGAAAGAAGTGAAGCTGATAGAAGGAATCCTCTCTAACTTACAGTTTGCCCATTTTTACCTATTTAGGAAGAAAATCCATATGGTGGCAATGGCTTCATTGATTCAGGTACAGTTACATCTTAGAGTGGTAAAGACAGTCAGCGCATATACTCAAAATGTACTGTCACTACCTTGCAGAATTCAACATACATTCTTAAAAAGGACCAGTCCTTTACTCCTTTCACAGGGAAAATCCCATTGATTTCATCAGAAGTGTGTGACTGGGCCCCAAATCTCCATCCTAATTCCTGTTCTTTTTCATTAGAAATGTGATTGTATTTTCCAGTTTGCTCATTAGTGATGCTTCAAAGACATAAAGAACTGTGTTTGTATTGATATGCTTTTCATTCTAGCCCTTATGATTGTGAACAAGACATTGTTTTGCTATAAATTGTGCAGTTTCTCCTTCCAATGCATCTTCCTTTGTTTCACTTGTGACTACGGTTTTTCCTTCATTTTGCCCAATCTGCTCCCACTAAAATCAAACAGAGATGTGATTACACTGGGATCAGGTTTTCTGTAGGTAAACATGACAACATGCAGTTTTGTTCAGGTGCATATAGCAGACCTGGAGAATTTTTCTAAATAATGGAATATGGATGCTGTTTGAGATTAAGCACCTTGTGCAGCTTTAACTTGCGTGTTCTTCTTGAGAATATATAGATTGTTAGCAAACTGAAAAAGCATGATGTAATATAATGCACAGTCATCTTAAATATGAGCTTCACCCAAGCAAACTGTAATAAAACATGCAAACACTATTGTGTCACCAATTCTTCTCTGTCGAGGTACTTACATGGCCCACATCACGTCAGTTTCTGAGTACCTCGCAATCTTTACTTGATTTTATCCTCACAAAATCCTAGTGAGGTGTGGAGGTACTGACCCCATTTTACACATGGGAAATTGAGGCACAGGGTAGATTAAGTGTTTTACCAAAGTAACACAGGAAATCTGTGGCAGAGCTTGGAATTTAGCCCAGGTCTTGAGTCCTGGTCCATTGGCCTACCCACTAGACCATCCTTTCTTAGCCTCCCTCTGGGAGCCAGAATTCCCTATTTTTATTACAATGCAAAATAATCAATATTAATCAATCAATACAAATGCTGCCCATAGTAAACATATGACCTGTTACTGAAACCCTTGACCTTCATCTCCCTTTCCCGCCTTCTTTTGTCTGTTAGGTTCCAATCCTGCAAAGTGATGTGAATGGGTCGATCTCTATGTTTGTGCAGGGCCCTGGACTTAAATGGCAGGGACTATTGGTGACATCCTGACCACACTGAAGTCAATGGAAGTTTTGCCACCGACTTAAATGGGGCCAAGATTTCATGTCATGTCACCAAATCTTCTAAAAATTGTTAGAAATGACCGAGCTTGTGTTTGCTGTAGGGCTCAATGTAGGAAAGTAAGGAGCTTCCACTTTACGCCTTGATTCAGCAAAACACTCAATTACTAGTGTATCCCCACTGAAGTTCTTCCCCATCAACTTATTCACAGTACATTTCAAAAAGCCAGTACACACACACACACACTTTGGTTTCAGTTTTCATTTTTTCCCTCATTACACAGAGTATGTCCATTATGTGCTAAGGCAGGACAAAGCAAAGCACAAAAAATATTGATGCATAATTTAAAAAGGAGAAAAGTATCCATTCGAGTTCACATTTCATAAAGGATGACATTCTTCTTTGTGCTGAGGGTCAGCTCAAAGCCTGTACATTGATTAATTTAGTGGGACTTTAGTGGTGCAGAGCTTAGGTCTCATGTAGAGTGTGAAAAAAATATTTACAGGTTCAAAAGAGGGAAAAGGCCATTTCCTTTAAAAATCCCAGAGTATCAAAATTCAGCTAACCCCAGTCTGCTGGATCCTCAGCCCAGTGAATTCAATGGAATATTTGCCATGGACATCAGTGGTGAAGGATCAAGCCCAATGTACACTGACTGCACACTCCACACTTACAACACTTTAACTCCTTTCAAGATGTATGCAGAAGCATACAAGGTAGGTAATAAAGTACAGCACATTCAAATTAGTAAGCGCTGGTCTCAGTACCAAGCATAACGAAGCTGAACAGTATCAAATTCTACTGTTTCACTGGTTTTCTTTCTGTTGCATACCCAATTCTAGGAAAGAAGAACAATGACAGAATTTCATTTATGCAAAACAGGAACAGTAAGGGTGTATTTGTTTTGTTTAAATAACATGAGCAAAGTAGACACATATGAGAGAAGAGGGACTACTGGGAAGCTATTTGGTTAGTCTGTGTGGGACAATGTATCTCATGGAACTACATTGAGTCCTGGGTTGTGCTATTAGAGCTCAGAAGACATTTGCCATCTTGCCTGAGGAGGTGCTATAGAAGTTTGGTGAGAGAGAGAAATTATGGCAGCAAACAGGTCATTACCAGAAAAACAGAAATGAAGAATGAAAAGTGAAAAATGTAGTGAGTTAACAAATTATAATGCTAATGAAAGCTGACATTAGCTAAACTGTTTCTCCTTCACCTAAGTTTACCATTGTGTCTTGTGTCTCATTGGAATCATTTTCTTTCATGCTGTCTTCCACTAGTTTATGGAGTGTGCTGAAGATCTGCTGGTTAATGTTGAAAGAGTCCAAAGCAGAAGCTTCTTCCCAGGCCCTTAAACTTGGCATGGGAAAGGGTTCCAGTTTCTTATTCTCAAAAAAGCTTTTCAGGTTTCTTTCGCTCAATTTGGTGGCATAGTCCTCAAAATATTTTTCAAATTGTTCCTTCTCCTTCTCAGTGTAGATCTTCCAAAACCTTTTTTGGAGATGGCTGGTATTAGATTGGCAGTGACCATAACAAGTGATCAACAAAGACAGAAAAGCAGCAGTAACTATCACACACCACCCTACGACCTGTTAAAGAAAGGATAATTTGATATTGAAGCACAAAAGAAAGGCTACAATAAAAAAGCTGATTGGAAACTCAAATTAGATTGAGAATAACTAGTGTTATTCTGGTTCTTACAGTTGCATTGAGACTGTGTTCTTTAAATGCTCAGTATAAAAACCTTGAAAAGTGATAATAAAATACAAGATTTTGAAAATAAAGTGATCCACCAAGTGTCAATTCTATTCACAAGCAGAGGCCCTGAATTCCTAAGGACTGTCACTAGAGGCAGAGATTAAATTGGATGTCATTTTCAGGATCATATGATCTACACAGCTACGTAAAAAATATTTTTTTGTATACTGCACCTTTACATTTTGAACAGCTCTAACCAAAAATTAAGTCTCAGCACTTTAAAAATACGGATTATGGACTTGATCTACAGCCCACTGAAGTCAATAGAAAGACTCCCATTGACTTTAATGGGCTTTGGATCAGGCCCTATTAGTATAAATCCAGAATACATGTAATAAATCTTACTGTCTGAAGTATTAATGAATGTTTATGACGCACTATTATATATTTTAGAATGATTATTGTATGTATACATGAACTAACTGAATGTTTGTCTACATTACTAAATGGTTGAAAGTGAAGTACGCAATTTAAAATGATTGCTGGGGTACTTCATATCTTGCTATAAAAAAGAGAAAGTCTAAATGAGGCCTATTCAAAGGAATGAGCCCTCTAACAAGGTACAAATATGTTTTTCTTCCTAATTTTAAACTCAATAAAGCTTTATTCCAAAAGAATTGTCTCCTGGTGTTTAACATTGTTGTTCTACTGTTGCCTTCAGGGTCAGCCCAAGGCTTGCACAAATCCTGGAGGCCGTACACTTTGGAGGAGCCTTGTTGTATTATGAACTCCCCTAAAAAATGACCAACCACTGTCCCAAAACCCTTCAAGATGAACGGAAGGAGCTTTTCCCTTCCCAATCTTCGAAACCCTGCCTACCATTCCTTTACTTTGATTAAACCTTTTGCTCAGCCCTCTTCCCAGAAACGTCAAGCAACCTGAATGCTCTAGCCACATTGCTAAAATTCTCCCACCTCCCTCTGTTGGCAAATATCCTATCAAGCCCTTCTGAGCTGCCAAACCCTTCCACACCTTGGTGTGCTATGCTGCTTACAGAAATCTGCCTGAGGCACTGGATATTTCACTTCTCAGACACTCCCACAAAACACAGTCTGAATCCTGCTTGCATTGCAATGAAATATATATTTTAATTTTTTTAAAATTATAGTTAAACTCTCGGGACACTTGATTTTAGGGCCTCATGATAAAAAAAAAGGACACCACAAAGCATGATTGAATTAAAATGATATCTTACCTGAGATTCCGCTTGAAGTGTTAGTAGGATCTCCTCAGTCTCCCAAGAGGACAGGGAAGTTTGGCCACATGCTACTTTGGGAAGCTCTTCCAAGCACTTGTTGGATTTATTGTGGCAAAGCATCTCCAGGTACTTCAGATTTTTTGAGCCACTCATGGCACATTCATAAAAAGTCCCATTGAGCAAAACCACAGAAAGCCACATCACGGGGGCTACAAAAGCCTTTAAGGTGATCTGGCCAAAGGCATGAAAAAAATGGCAGCTCTTCCCTTTGGGAAATAGTTTCCTGGGGTTCACACAACAGCCTGTGAAGAGCTGCCAGGTACTGCCATTCAGTGCAAACCCAACAAATAGTAGTACCAAGGCTGGGACAAAGAGATACACCAGCCCATAGGTGTAGTTTTTGTTGCTGCAAGGACACTTAAAAGCAGAAAGAGAAAATAAATGCTCACTTCCCACTGTTAGCAGTCCCATCAAACTGTAACCAATTGCTTTCTTTTGGCTACTGAGGAATTTGAAAACTGTTTGGGAGATACCCATGTTTGAACTATGAACCCCACAAAACAGGAGAAAAGTGAGGCATCATCAGTGGGACAAGTGCTATTTCTAGCACTTGTTTGGGTGGAGCTTTCTATTAAGGAAAAAAACAAGTCTCTCTGGTTTGGGGCAGCTCAGATGAAGTGAACAGTCATTCGTCATCATTAATAAATCTTTCTTCAAATGGCACACAAACAGCGGGCTCTTCCTTAGTCAGTGGGCAAATAGACCAATCCTGCCCCAGGCTCAGTTTTGTCCTGTGCAATTTATAGTTGTCCACTAGTTCTGGCTATTTCCTTTGGATCACACTGAGCTTAGTGACTATGGAGAAGTTATATTTGTCATAGAATATTTTTCTCATTTAAAATAGCTATGAAATAATAAATAATAATTAATAGAAAACCTGGTCGTTGAAATGACCCCTTCTGCAATGGAGTCTTCTACTCACCACTCGGCTGTCCCTCCTCGTAGCTCATCTGGGGAGTTAGCTCACTACTGTTCGCACCCCAATCAGCCCGTTGCCTCAGTCACTTGCTCTGCAGCATCTCTCTCCCTAGTCAGGAGCTGCAGCGTCTCTCCTTCCTGGCTTAGCCCTCTTGCCATGTCACAATCATCCTCTGTTTCCAGGGTCTCATCAGAATCTCTTTCCACAAAGTCTCAGGCAGACTCCATATCCATGCACTAACTGTGCCACTCCTGCAGTGGCTGGTAGGGGAACCTAGACCCAACTTCTACTCTGGGTTCCAGTTCAAGGACCCTCAAACCAGCAGTTCAAGTCTATACTTTCTTAGACTTTCCTGCTCCTTCCCTGGACCGCTTCTTACACTGCCCTTTTTTCAGGCTTCTAGTCTCCACCTTGTACCAGAGTTTATGACTTCAGGCTCACCTCACTGCCACCCCCTCTATCCTCAGCTCCTAGGCTTTATAGAAGCCCCCCTGCCTGTTCCTGCCCAGGGAAGCTTCATTCTCAATTACTATCATTGCCCCTTAGCTCCCCAGCAGGTGCAGCCTATGGCTAGTTGGTCTCTCTTAACTCCTTCAGCACTAGTGTGGGGTGAACATCCCATCACACCCTCCCAGTCTTGCATTGATCCTGAATGTATGACCACTACAAAATTTTCATTTAACCAGCATGCTGTGAATGTGTGCTGTGTATCACACAAACACAAGCGGTGCTGACATTTTATCACACGTAAGACACATCCTGATGATACGGCAGAAGGACGCTATGACAGAATGGAGAATTTTGGGGTGACATGACTTTGACCTCCCCGACAGACATGTGACAGGATTGTTACTACTGTTGTTATCGACTGTCTACTTTAATCCCTAGAGTTGTAGCTGTTACAGCCTCGTAGATCTGGATACTTCAGTGCTCAGCCTGACACCTCCACTTTGCTCAGTCGTCCAAGTGATTTTTTTTCAGGCATGAAAGTCCTGTCCACACACGCGCTTGAAGCTGAGTTTGAAATTATAGTTGTAAAACAGCTTGTGCTCACAGTCTGTGAAGTTACATGGTGTGTTAGAGCAGTGCTCAGAAACCACTCTACAGGGTATCTATCCTAAAGACTATCCCCTCCTCTTCTCCCCTATTTAGCATCCTAGCTCCACCTTCTGGACATCAGCCATTGTACTATTTCAGTGGTGACGGAGGCAGGTTTGGGGCTAACTTATTTATTTAACCAACAATAAGAAATAACTTTCAAGTGAAGCATAATGCTGCTGCTGCTGTATGCTCTGCCTCTGTGTCTGCAAGGTCCCTGTCTGAGGGTCAGTCTAAGAAAGTCAATGGAATGGGCTTGTCTTCAGTACCACTGTCACGCTGTCTGGAGTAGCTCACAACTGAGAGAGCCAAGCTCAGGTCATATTGTCAGGCAATAGGGCAAACACCCAAACTGGTGGTATATTCTATCATTTGATTTCACCACGCCAGTAACCACTGTTCCCTCCTGGATCACTATAGCAGTCTTACCATGGAGTCACAAAGAGTCCTGCTTAGGCTCTCCAGTGCATCTTTCCATCTAGCCAAACTGGACTAGGTGATGAAAAGTTATTAAAAGCAAGAATCACCACTCATTAGGTTGCTTCCAACCCCCTAGGGCCAGTCACTTACCCCAGGTCAATGGATACTCTTGACCTCTCACCAAAGACAATGTTGTAGTCAATTTCTCTAGTAAACTAACTAAAGATTTATTAGCTAAGAAAAAGAAATGAGAATTATTGAGAGGTTAAAGCAGGTAAAATACATTACAGGTGAGTGAGAATTTGTAAATCAAAATGATTAGCAGAGGTGTAGTAATCTGTTGGTTTTCCATAAATCTGTCAGGACTAGCAGCTTTGGGGATCTCTGTCTTGTATCTGGAACACCCCCTGAAAGTGTCCAAACAGCTCAGAGATACAGAATCACTCCCAGAGTTCATTCTTATAACTGTCTTCCCCAGAAAGCAGTCTGTCATGTGTTCCCATTATATCAAGGGTCTGTAGATTTCCCATTGCTGAACGCAACGACCCATGCTTTTAAATTAGAATGCTTGTCATTTACAGTTCAAAGGCTTCAATCCTGGTTGTAGGGCAATTCGATTACAGAGATTACATTTAATTCAATTACATACACAATGCATTTAGCTACAGCCATCCAGGCAATCTTTCATTAGTTTTCCTGAACAATAAAATAGCTGGAAACAATCCTTCATTAGTTTTCATGCAGTTTTACACATTAAGTAAATTCTTGTCTAAACACTAATACATCCTTTGATCTAGGGCTAATTAAGTACAGGGGGAGATATATATATATATACACACACATTAAACTTTAATGTAATAAAATCCAACAGGTTATAGATAAATGAAGACAATACCATCACATTTCCTTTGAATTATGTTAACACACAAGTGAATTGGCCTGATCACATTACAATGCCTTTTGAGACTCCTTTGATTTCTCTTAACATGCAAGTGAATTAGCTTGGTCTGAGCTGGCAACCTGTTAGACAGCATCACAACAACATTACTCTTTTTGAAGTGAAGAATCAAGTGAGCTGATGTCCAGAGCACTCTCCTTCTGTAAGCTGGCTCTCTCCATTGTTGGTGTGTCTCATTTTATACCACAGGGAACAAAGTTCCTCACACCAACACACAGAAATGTCTGAACATTTAGTCTCTCCACATGCATAAATAATGATACGTTGTGCTTACATATTGCGTTTCATCCAAGGATTTCAAAGCACTTTATAAGCAATCATTAATAATCTTTATCAACCGCATGGGATCCATATAGTTATGTGAGATAGATACAGTTAATTCCTCCAGTTATAATGATGGGGAAAACTTTCCTACTTTAACAATGGGAACAAAGGAGCTAAATCACCTACCCCCAGGTCACTGACAAGACCCAGTAAGGGAACCTAAGAGTTTTGATTCTTATTTATTATTATTATTTGTATTGCAGTATAGTTTGGAAGCCCCAGTCTGTGATTGTGTGAGGCCCCATATACACATATAACCAAAAGGCAGTTCTTGCCCCAGTGATCTTACAACTTGAGTATTAAAATGAGAATCTAGGTAAGACAAGACAACTTACTGTAATTTTCTGTTCTAACCACTCCATTCCTCAGAAACACGGAGGAAAATCAGTGCACATCATCACTGAAATATCTGCACCCTATTAAATGCTTAAAAGGGAAGATTAGTCTGTGAAACTACATACCAGTGTCAAACACAATCGGTTGTTTCCTGTAACATTTAGGGATATGTGGCAAGCATATCCTTATAGTGTTGGAACACAGCCAGAGGTTTGTTCCGTGTGTGATGCACAGGAATACATTACTTCATTTATGAGAAAAGCATGATATGACTTA